GGTCACGAGCACTAGCCAAGAGGGGCTAGGGAAGCACGCGGAGGACAAGCTTCTCTGGGGCATCAAGTTTTTTTTTGCCTGGTGCTCGTGAGCAACGGTTTGAAGGCCTCACAACAACCTTCTACCTCGACTACTACGACTACGTCGACTACACCAATCGTGGTTAAAACTCGGCCACAAACGCCAGCCAAGAGGGGCTAGGGGGAGTGCACCGGAGGACCAACCACTCAGGAGCGTGAGGTCTTTTGTCTGGCGCTCGTGAGCGAGGATTTATTTGAAGACCTCCACCCAAAGAAGGATCGGAGACGAAGACCTCCGCCTGAAGAAAAGACGAAGACCTCCACCAAAGAAGGATCGGAGATGAAGACCTCCGCCCGAAGAAAAGTCGAAGGCCTACGGAGGCCAGCACGCCAAGACGATACCAGACTCGGAGGTGAAGACCTCGAAGATGAAGACCTGGGAAGGCCTCGGAGGCGGAGACCCGCACGCCAAGGTCATACCAGAGGCGATTGAAGACCCCTGCACCGAGAAGACATGGAGACGAAGGCCATAGATGAAGAAATCTAGAAGATAAGGGCACCCAGAGCTAAAAGCCTAAGGAATTAGTGCATGTATAGGTTAGAGTCATGCACGTGCTCTTTTCTCCATGCCCTTTTTTTCCACAGGGTTTTTGGGATGGAGTTTTTAGCGAGGCGTGCATGAACGGGTTGCGGAGGGAAATCCTCGCAACCAAGATCTGGGTTGTATAGTGCCTCTTCTTGTATGAGCATCTACTAGGTCATGTAGTACCATCCATAACCTAGTAGCTGAGGGGCTACTGTTGGGGGAGCCCATACGAAGTATGGGCCAACTCCCCCAAGAGAGGCTGATGAAGGAATAATGGCGGAGGCTGTCCCTAAAACGGCGGAGGCTCTATCCAAAACGGCGGAGGCTCTCCCCAAGATGGCGGAGGCCCAGCACAGGAACAATGGCGGAGGTTCTCCCCGAGATGGCGGAGGCTCTCCCCAAGATGGCGGAGGCCTAGCGCAAGGATAATGGCGGAGGCTCTCCCCGAGATGGCGGAGGACTAGTACAAGGATGACGATGAGTTTCTCCCTGGGACGGTGGAGGCTCTCCCCGGGACAGTGGATGCCTAGTGCAGTGATCGTGGCGAAGGTGTTCCCCGAGGCGTCGGAGGCCCATCAAGGTGCGGGACGATCTACGTGACGACAGTTGATGGGCCTCCAGTGGGCGTCGGCTTAGGCCCAAGGTGAAGACATCGCGAGACGGTGTGATGAGAACACCCCTGAGGTTAGACACTAGGGCTGGAATATTCTTGGAATGTACCGTAGCAGTTGAGGGGCACTGTTGTAAACTCTGTAAAGTGGTAGTTGAGCCTTATAAATAGGGAACACTTGTAACTGTACAGGGGGTTGGTGAATGAATTAATGAAACCCTAGTTCTTGTGAGTCGATATTTGATCCTCGTTCTCTTTCAGGCAGTACCTCTGCCGAAGCTAGAGTCCGGAGCCTCGGCCAAAGTCGAAGGCCTCCGCCCCTTTCTTACTCCCACTTTGCCAAAGCCTACTGAATCCCTCGTTTAACGACCTTCTACCCGGAGCCTCTGACGGAGGATCTTGTCCGACAGGAGTGCGCTGCGTCCGGAGACCTCCGTCTGTCTTAGGCGGAGGCCGGCCTCCGCCCATCTTAGGCGGAGGTCTTCGACCTTAGACGAAGGCCTCCGCCCATCTCTCGCTCTTGTTAGAAACCGATTGTTCAACATCTTCTTTTGTTTATAAAAAAACAGATGTATAATAAGTATATTATACTAGTATTAACTAGCCGGTCAAACAGGCCCGGCTCCGAGTGATTGCCTGTTGTGGCGTAGTGTTGCTATTATTCTTCTTCTTGCAGCTCAAGTACATATATTGCAGTGTATGTTAAAGGAGTGATCATGAACAATGAACTAGAACAACGCAGCGCATGAAGAATGTTCCAAAAAAAGAATAGAAAAATGCATGATAAATCAAAAAAAGGAATATGAGAAACAAATGTGCGCCTGTGTTGACCCGGACACAACATGAACTGGCCGGAACTCGCACGCCTCTGTCTCCGACTATGATCCCACGTACGTACAAACTCCAAACAAACGGGGAGAAAAATAACAAAGGTGGCGCAACACATGGAGCATTTCTTCTGTAGTGGGAGTGGGTGGCAAGCAGTGGCACTTTTATATATATATATATATATATATATATATATATATATATATATATATATATATATATATATATATATATATATATATATATATATATATATATATACACACACTAGCACACTAGTGGAGGGACGGGCTTTACTCCCGGTGGAGAACCCCCTCTAGTTCCGGTTCCCCACCCGGGAGTAAGCATCCGGGACTAAAGGCCCGGGTCGGGAACCGGGACTAAAGGTGCATAACACCAACCGGGACTAAAGGTCCTCCCAGCTTTAAAAAAAATAATACCTCCCACCGCTGCGTCCCGTGAGATTTGAACCCAAGACCACATGCATTGCCTCGCGCGTATACAACACATCTAACAATGGATGGGATGCTTCCCTTTTGAACTAACCCATCGGGGGACCTTTAGTCCCGATTGGTGTTACCAACCGGGACTAAAGGTTGGAGGACTTTTAGTCCCGATTGGTGGCTCCAACCGGGAGTAAAGGTCCACCTTTAGTCCCGGTTGGTGTCTCCAACCAAGACTAAAGGTCCCCTGCCACTGTGCCGAGCGCAGTAACCGGGACTAAAGGTCTCTCTAGTCCCGGGCGCAAAAAAATGCCGGGACTAGAGCCCATTTTGACCTCGGATGAAAGGTCTGTTCTCTACTAGTGATATATATATATATATATATATATATATATATATATATAGAGAGAGAGAGAGAGAGAACTACTATCGGTTACAAAAATAACTTATTCTGTAGCCACTTTGAGTTACGATAATTATTATGTTAATTTACGATATTATATTAACTCCTTACTAATAAGTGGTTTACTATAACATTATGGTAAATATCCCCATGTATTATAGTAACCCAACTATCGTAAATATGTATTGACATTATCGTAAAATAGTATATAAAATTATCGTAAATGGAGGTGGCTACAGAATAACTTATTTTGTAGCCGCTTACTGAATAACCTCTCCCTATATATAACTACTACCCTGTAGCCGGCTACAAAATAACTTATTTTGTAGCCACTTTGAGTTACGATAATTACTATGTTAATTTATAAGATTATAGTAACTTCATATTAAGTGGTTTACTATAACGTTATGGTAAATATCTCCATGTGTTATAGTAACCCAACTATCGTAAATATGTATTGACATTATCGTAAATTAGTATATAAAATTATCGTAAATGGAGGTGGCTACGGAATAACTTATTTTATAGCTGGTAACTGAATATGCTATATATATATATATATATATATATATATATATATATATATGTGGTGAATTGAATTGAATTGAATGATCATTGGATCGGAACAAACTATCAAAGCAAGTGGCACGCAATGCATATCCATCGATTGGTACTCTCTACGACGACGGAAGAAGCAGGGGCGTCAAATGTTCAAAATGCATGCACGCGTTCAACTCTGTACAAGTCGTCGCATTTCATTCCTCTCCCCACGACATTAATTAATTTCGTTTATATCTTATATTGTTCGGAGTACATATGTGACTTTCAATTATTTGGGTGGCCAATAGTTTGTTTTCGTGCGTGCGTGCATGGTTTTGCAGGCCATGTTGTGCATGTGTGTGAATGCGCGCGCGAGAATTGCATGCATGTGGTCTATCTTCGTCTCTCAGATCAGAATTGAAAAAGGGGCATGCATGGTGTGGTCTATCTTCGTTTATATACATTGCGTGTTCGCTGGTTAATTTCTGAGCTGATTTGATTTGGGAAATTTGGTGGTCTTTGTTTTTTGAGACAAAAATACTATTAGCTAGTTGAATAAGTCTGGCTAAAACCAACAAGCAAACATGTTATCTGACCAATCGAGCAGAGTTCACCATTCCCGTACCGATTCGATCTGCTAATAATTTAATTTGGCCGCATGCACTTGTGACGTGGTATCAAACATTTCAGAAAAAAAGGCCATATCCCCAAAGCTGTCACAGGTCGCTTATTGCTTGCCTCCAGACAAGTACCTCTGATATTTTATTTTGTACGTAGCAAACAGTACTAATTAAAAAAACATTGTAAAGAAACTAAGGAGTACAGTAACATCTAATTTGTATGACTATTTTTATGGAAATATATCTACCATTATTCTAGGACGGAGGAGATATGATGCAAATACAAGCAAGTTTATTTAAGTGCACGTAGTATGTATGGTTTGATCGAGCGACGTCGCGTGGACGACTGGCTGCAGCATGGACGCTTTAGTTTGGCAACGTACTGCATGCATGCGTGTCTAATCAGTTTAATTTGCTGGCACGTCGGTGAAACAAGCAACGAGATTGTTTGTTGTGTGCCTGGCTTCCCAAGCTCCCAGGCCGGTGCTGCCCATAATAACCATGGTCCAACTGCGTGCACCGACACCCAACCTACCTTGTGCCGCAACATGGGCTCTGTTCGCTCGTTGGTTTTAGCCATGACTTATCAGTTATGGTACAATATTTTTCTCTCACATCAAAACAATATCAGTCGAGCTTATTAGCCTAGAAACCAACCAGTAAACAGGCTGATTGTTTGTTGAAATTTGTATCAATTTCAAAGTCGATTTTAAAGTAAAAGTCAGAGAGAGAGTAGGTGATTTTGGTTAACTGTCACTGTCATCATGGGACCGCTTGCTAGCTACAGTGCATGTGCTCAGTGCTCTTGTGGGTCCGGCGGGTGGCCCCCCACCTCCAGCTCCAGTCCATATAAACCGCCGCACAGCGCGGCCTTTCCTCCCGTGTCTCCCATCGCCTGCTCTGCTGTGCTCATCTCCCTCCACGGCTCGGCTCCGCTGCGATCCCGCGGGATGCTCATGGCCGCCGCCGCCATGCACATGGACTCCACCCACCCGTCCTCCACAGGGTCCATCATCATATCGCCGCCGCCATGGCACCCAGCCGTACCCGTACCCGTGCCCACCCACCACCACCAGCAGGACCTTTCCGCGCCATCCCCATCCCCGTCCCCTTCCCCGCCGCCGCGCAACAACCACCACCTCCGCCCCGCGGCCGCCCGCCGACCGTCCAGCAGGCGCCGCCCGCGGCCGTCGCGGAAGGTGCCCACCACGTACATCACCGCGGACGCCGCCAGCTTCCGCCGCATGGTGCACCAGGTCACGGGCGCCGACGACCTGCCGCCTCTGGCGCCGCAGCACGAGGCGACCACCCTCTGCCGCCCGGCGCCGTCCCGCGCCGCGGCGGCCGGCGCGCTGCCGACGCTGGATACGTCCGCGCTCCTGCTCGGCAACAGCGACGGCGGGTCCGGGTCCGGGTCCGCCCGGGGGACATTGGGGCCGGACGCGTCGGTGCATCTTGCGGCGGCATCGGAGGTGGATGTGGGGGCCGGTGTCGGTGTTCGTGCAGGACTCGGGGTAGCGGGCTACAGCAGCAGCGATTGCGGCGCCGGCGCCGGCGGCTTCCCGACCTTGGAGTCGTGGGACGCTCTCTTGTACTAGCTCGCATCCATGAACACGAACATGATCCACGATATATAATCCATCTCATACGTAAGATGGATTAGTTGATCCGTTGATAGATGATGACAGTGTCTGTCCATGGATGGATGCATGAACAAGCATCTTGCTTGCATCGGTGGTTAGTAGCTGCTTGTTTCTCCTCGTTGCTCCTAGACTGTCTCGTACATAGGAATCGATTTTTCGTTCGGTGCATTAAGAAACTAAGATAAGAATCGATCAGTAATTTAACTACCTGGTGGTGAACTGGTGATCCATCCATTCTCATTATTGATGACCATTGATCGCCCGGTGCTGCAACAGTGCCATTCATTCAGCTAATCAGCTAATAAGCCAATCCATCCAAGATAGCACCAATTAAAACGAATGGATCGTTATCAAACATTATAATGATGTTTATTGTTAGCTTAGACCCTACGATACGTCGAGATGAAGACAGGCAGGCCGCAGGCCAGCCAAAGTGAATAAAACAGCGACAGAGCAAGAGTCAGCAGCACGTCCTTTAATTTCCTTCCCGCCCCAAAGAAGAATGAGAACAAACCAATTTTCATCTTCAGATAATCCTGTTTGACTAGGTTCAACACTTTATCTTAAAATATGTTTATTAGGAAAAATACATTTTATAATTCATGTAGCAATACTAACTATAAATGTACCTATTTTTTATATATTTAATTAAATTTAAAATTGTTTGACTCAACGAAAAACGAGATTTATATTATATTTTGGGACATAGGTGGTAATAACGAGATGGTGATATCGTCCATCGTATAGCGACTAGCGATGCCTACCTTGTTATCTCTCATGACTCACCAATATATAATCGGTAATGCTTGTAACAGGACGTCCGTCCACCCGGACGCTTCCGTTCATGGGCCGCATAGCCAGCCCAAATGACTACCTCATATCCACTCGCCTCGTCCAGCTTATCGACTCACTGAGTCACCATAGTTTCTGAGAACAAAAAAAAACACCGCACGTCCGTAGCGGAGCTAGGACCATGCAGCTTGCGGTGGCTGGTCGGGGCAGAGGCCGCCCGCGCACATCTCGTGCTCACCACGACCGGGGCGACGGCGCGCTCCCCCACCCCGGGGTCCCCCTCCCCCACCCCGGTGGCCCCTTCCCCCACTCCGACGGCGCCCCTCCCCCCACCTTGGCGTCCTCACCCACCGGGAGCGCCCAACGCCCGCGGATCTAGTGGCCCTCTCCCCCACCCTGGCGAGATCCACGGAGCACGAGCAAGATCCATGGAGGTGGCGCGGCGGTGTAGCAGGGGAGTGGGCGGCTCTGCCCCACCACGCCCAAGCGCCCTCCTCGCCCTCGGCGGCGCCCTCTCTCACCCTGGTGACCGAGCTCCCCCCCACCCCGGCGCCCGAAATCGACTGGCCAGCCTTCCCCTCTCATATGTTGCATATGTATGTTTCAAGTGTTTCAGACGTTTCAGATTTATGTTGCATTTGTTTCATATGGATATTGCAAAAGTAGATCGGGGAATGTTGCACATGTTGCAATTGTTTCAGAGGCATGTTGCAAGCATATGTTTCGAGTGTTTCAGATGTTTTAGAGGTATGTTTCATATGTGTTCCGGACGCATGGTGTAAGTGTGTTTATCTGGATGTTGCATATGTTTCACACATACGTTGCATGTGTGTTTATTTGGATGTTTGCGTATGGTTGCAATGGTTTTCAAGTGTTTTTCATGTGTGTTTTTTTCAAGTGTTTCAGAAGCATGTTTTAAGTGTTTCAACTGCCTTCAGGCGTATGTAGCTAGCAACTGTTGTATTTGGATGTTTCAAAATTAGATCGGGTGTTGTATCTCTCCTCCCTACCTTCTGTGCATCGTCTCTTCCGACGCCAGCTGGGCATCCATAGGATGCCGCGGCGGGGTCCTTCTAAATCGTAGGCGTCGCGCGCCCTTCCCCTCTTGTCGCTCGGGCAACGCGGCCCCTGCGTGGAGTGCGAAACGGAGTGTAGCACGCGGGCGTCCGTCCGGACGTTCGGGCGCTAGCACTTCGGATATATAAATGTGAGTCTAATTGGTTACCCGTATATCTTCTTATTGGAGGTAGTACTGTAGTACAAAGGATGACTGTTTGGTTTCCTACGCATCTCTTTATATGTGCAAGTAGTCTCCTCAAAAGCACCTCTTGTTGCACAACTCTCGGTACGCTCACAAAATGACCCACTATTATTCCCCTTCCCATTCCCAACCTAGTTTAGATAACACCTGAGGTGTATAGCTGTATCCGTCCACTTGGAATACGGGTCGAATTGACTCTGAAACTCAGATGACTTAAAGCCCATTTGAAACGACGCTGGTTTTTAAATTTGGTTGCTTGTCTTGAGTAGGCATTTTGTTTTTTTTTTAAAAAGCCCCCAACCGAATGAACGAATGATGCTGCAGATTGCAGATGGATGAGCATGGCAGTCAAAAACGGCCCTGTTCTGCTGAACTACTTCTACTACTCACAGTCAGTCAGAACAGAGTACTCCATAACTCCAATGAAAGAGTACACGGTCTGAGGGTCTCGGTTGGAGTCCATGCCGACAACCAAACTTGCAGACCCAGCAGACTGAGAGCAGGAAAGGGAGCACCGTACCGAACACGCACGCCCGTCATCGCCCGCCCTTGCTCTGCCTCTGCTCCGATCCTCGCCCCGGCTCCGTCAGAATTTCGGCAGAAGACGACGACGACGACCGAAGACCATCGATGCTTTTATTAGGCCCGTTTGGTATGGTTTTTTTATCAGCTTCAGAAACCGTTTGGAGCCGTTTTTTGTCAAACGGAGTAAAGTGAAATAGCTTCACTGGTGAAGCCCCTAAAAACATGCTCTCACAATGATTTGAGGTGGGATGGAGCCAAAAAAAAGTGGCTTTTTCCGGCTCCTCCTCCAGTCTCTAAAAACATGCTCTTACAGGGAAGCCATTTTGCCAAACGGTTTACCAAAATCGCTTCAGCTTCACCGGTGGAACTGTTCGTGGAGCTGAAGCAAAAAAAAATAGCTTCACTAGTGAAGTGAAGCCCTGCCAAACGAGACATTAATTTGTCCGGTCCATGGGACGCTTCACTAGACCCCTCACCCAACGCATGCTTCCTCGCGGCCAACCAGCCGCCCGCCCCCGCCCACACGTCATCATCGCGGCATGCCTACGCCATCAACTTCTTATTCGATAGCTATCTCATGCCTCCCACAGTGCTACTGGGCTACGTACGTACGTGCCACCCGTCACGACCATCCACCAGCCAGATAGATGCTGCCCATGTGGAAGCTTCAATCCAGTACATTTATTATCTACACCATAAGCCTTACTATTACTAATCACGAGACCATGTTTAGGTTTCTATATCTATATCTATATCTATATATACCTAATATTAAAAAGACAAAATTTCTCTCCACCTTTTTTTTTTGTCCGTCTTCCCTTGACTAACTATATCAATATACAAATTGTCTTGGTTGGCCTCTCTATATCTCTCATATTTTATATGGTACAATAAACACAGGTTAAGGTAACCCAGGCAGTTAGAAATCCTAATCCAAATAGATATCTCTGACCGTGCATATGTGAATAGAAATCCTAACCCAAATAGATAAAGTCTACAAGTAGAGATTAATTACATACAATCTTATATATACATTCTTTTTTTCTAAAACTGCTTCCGTTTTTTGTTCCGTTGGTTCCCCGTTACAATTCTGTTTTTTCCGTACAGGATTCCGTATCCCCTCACAATTCTGTTTTTCTTTTCTGTGCTTCCCGTATAGAATTCTGTTTTTTCCTTTCCTCATCTGTGTTCCTTTCCTTTTTGTACCGTCAGCTCCTGCCGTTCTTGTGGTGTTTTTTCTTTTCCGTTTTTCTTTTCCTTTCCTTTCCGTGTTTCGTGCATCTTTATTTTTGTTTTTCTTCTTGTTTGTGTTTTTTTCTTCATTCTTTCTCTGTCTATGCGTTTTTTTCCTTCGTCCTCCATCTGGGTCTTTCTTAATAATAAATATAATATTACATATCTCTAAATTATTGACTTTTGTCAAAAAATGATTTTTACCATCAAATTGTTGCTGCAGTTTTGATTAGAAATAAAATCTATTTTTTAGAATTTGGATAGGCCGATGGTCTAGCTAATCAAACCATCAAATAAAATATTGAGCACTTTGTTATTTAGTATTATCCAGTCTAAATAACTCTCTTTTGCAATCCCTAATGATTAACGAACAAACCAATACAATCTATAAATATTTTATTTTAATTCAATATAGGCATAATAGGACATTTCCATACACTATCTATAAATATTTTATTTTAATTCAATATAGGTATAATAGGACATTTCCATACACTATTAACTTAGTATTATGTGTGTCTTGTCATCATAAAAATTTATAGAAAGGGTATAACATAAATTAATATGTACTATTCATGTTTTTGTTCCCCATAAAGATTTTATGGTATTTTTCTCCGGTTGCAACGTATGGACACTTTTGCTAGTTTAGATAATTCTCACGGGACACACACTTACAAAAAAGATATACTTTACTGATTCTACAAAAAAGATAAACTATGAACAATCCGTCGTCCATGGCATATATAGACAATAATAGTCGTTCGATCTGAATTCCGCTTTCTAGAAAATTGCCTATATCGGCTACTCTAAGAGCAACTCCAAACGACTTTTCATATATCCTTCCTAATCTATAGGAATATATTTTAGTGAAAAAATATCCTCTAACAACCTCGGTAAATGCAACTCCAAATATAGTGTTACACCAAATTTTAAGGATAAAATTGAATGCACTAACTCATGTGTGCTCAGGGATCAATCACACACACAAGCTGACAAATTATAAAAGAGTATCATCACAATGTATCTTACATCACGATAATAACAATACTTAGTCTTATACATCACAGCGGCAAAATAAAAGATAACTCTCTCTCGTAGAACACCATCACAGGGAAGGTCAACTGATTGACCACAAGCCTAAAAA